GACAACGGTGACACCACCTTCCAGGAACAGGTGTGAAGCTCAGGAAACAGCAAATGCCCCTAACTTCTGACAACAGGTGGAGGGGCGGGGAGCGAGGCCCTGAAAGGGGCCCCCTCCCTCCTACAGTGAAACAGGCTGCTGGGGGCCAGTGCCCGCTGTTCCCCATCCAGAGCCCGGGAAGGAAGGCTTCAGGCTGCCACATTTCTCACCTTGAGCTCCCTAGAGCAACCACCTTCTCATGAGACCCTCGGGGAGCTGTTCATGATGCTGATGCTGGGCCCAGCTGGAGCCTCTGGCACCTCCACTTCCCTTTCCCCCAGGAGCCCCAGTCACCTTAGTCCAGTGCACCTGCTGGGCCACACTTGCAGGCAGGGCTTGTTCCCATGGGGAGGCGGGGATGGCAGGGGCACCTTGGGCTCCCCTGTCTGCGCCCACTACCAGGGCAGGCCAGTCCGGACCTCCTGCTCCTTTGCTCACCCCCGGAGTGCCCGTAACAGCGCAGAGTGTGCACGCCTGATGCCCGGGCTCCTGTAGCTTAGCTCAGAGTGCGGGAGTGACCCCACCTTCACAGCCCTGCTCTGCCACTTAGCTGCGGGGGGAGTGGGGCGAGCCTCAGGTTCCCTGTCTGTACAGCGAGGAAGGAGACGGCCAGCTGTGCAGCTCTGCTGAGGAAACGGACTGAACGGACAGAATGCGTGTCAAAGCCTGCTGAGATACAAACAGAGGGAGATCTTTGGTTTCTACTGAACTTGCTGTTCAGTACAGTGGCAGGTTCAAGACCCAGCAAGTCCGTCTCCTCACCCTGCCGCTGCTCACTGGCGGCCCCCCCGACAAGCACAGCCTGCCACGCCCACCCTTGGAAAGCAAGCCTCAGAGCTGGTTGGAGTTCACATTGGTGTCTTTTTATTGGAGTTTAGGTGGGCACCCTGGATGCCCCCGGCTGCCGTCGGGCTCCTCAGACCCTCTGCCCGCTCCTGGCCTCTGCTCTGGGCACTCCAGCTGGGAACCTCCGGCCCGTGCCGCAGCCTCCTCCCGAGGTCTTGCAGCCACCGGGTCCCATCCCCGGGCAGAGGCTGTTTCCTGGCGAGGCAGACCCAGCTTCCCCGCTGCCTTCCTCTCTTTGCTTGTGCCAGGGGCACGTTCCGGCGTGGGGCTCAGCCCAGCTGCCCTGGGGAGCGGGCTGCAGCCCTCAGTCCCCTGAAGGTGCCTGCCACCTCCGGGGCAGCATCAGACCCTCTGCAGCACAGCCTGCCGCGGCTGCCACCTACAGCTTGGTGTTGAGGTGGAAGAAGTGGGGCGCTGCATAGGTTGTGGCAGGCGGCATGTGCCATGCGGACGAGGCTGGGCAAAGTCTGTGGCGGAGGGCGCTGTCAAAGGACGCAGTGGGGAAGTGCACCAGGCCAGCGGCCATGGGTGAGGGGGCTGTAGTGGCCAGGAAGTGGGCCGGGAAGGCTGGGATGACCAGCGGGCTGAAGGGGAGAGTGGCTTGGCCCTTTAAGGGGTCTGGGGAATTGTTGAAGTTCAGCGGGCAGCGCAGCATAGTGCCCCTGTAGGCCTCCCGGGGGCCAGGCCTCAGGGCTGGGTCCAGCAGGCAGGAGACAGCCAAGCCCGGGCCTGTAGGTTTGGCCCCACACTCGCTGGCGTCCACCTCCTGGAGAAAGGGAGACACTGCCCGCAGTTTTTTGCCACCGCAGGCAAAGCCCTCTTCTTCCAGGCTGCGCTTGCTGCTGAGGCCTGGGCTGCTGGGGAAGGTGGGCGGGGGCACTGGGCTCTCTGCGGGGACCTTGGCCATGGGGGACACCCAGCAGGCTTTGGGCTTGGGGTAGGGGCTGCCCTTTCGGAAGCCACCTTTGTGGAATGCAGAGGGACGGTTGACATCCCCACCCCACACCAGCTGGCGCTCTTTGGCCAGCAGCCCAGCCTCTTTGCCAGACGGCCCCAACAGCACCCCGTCTTTAAGGCTGGGGAAGAAGTCCCGGGGGTGCTGGCTGATGGGCTTCAGCACCTCGGTGGGGCAGGCATGGAAATATCCCGTGAAGATGGGGGCTGCTGGGCAGGGGCCTCCCTGAGCCTCCTCCCTGAGGCTGCCCACATGGGCCTGCAGTCCCTCCTGAGGGGTCAGTCGGTGCCTGGAGTTATCAGCCGGCCCTCCGGGGCTCTGGGGACACTCCGGGGGGCAAGCAGCTGTGGAGCCCTGGGGCTCCCTGTCGGAGCCGCCTGCTCCATGGTGACAGCCCTCATCCTGGCACTGCAAGGCCTCTGCCTTGCTCACCTGGGCCAGGAGCTTCTTCTTGGCCAGAGGTGACATGATGCCATGCGTCCCTTTGCAGTAGAAGCTGGACAGGAGCCGCTTGTAGGCCTCAGGGCAACAGCTGGCCCCCACGAAGGGCAGAGTGGGTACCGGGGCTGGGCCTGGCTGCTCAGCACTGTCCCTGGGGGGCTCCTGGTCGGGCAGCTGAGCTGGGTCGGCAGCATCTGTCTTGGTCTTTCCTGGCATCATCTAGGACAAGAAAGCACCATGCCTCAGAGCTGGGAGAGGGGGCCCAGCCATCCTGACCTGGGGACCTAGGTGGCAGCAGAGGGGTGCCCGGAGTCGCTGCTGCCCCTTACAGCGCCTCTGTGCAAAACTCTCAGAAGGCGCCCTGCTCTCTGACCGGCACAGCCCTGTGTCAGGGCATGGGGTGTGGGGAGAGGGGTGCAGGCTGGTCCTAACACCCCACTCGTCCCCTCACTCGAGGGCCCCTGAGCAGTGGACAGCTTGCACAGTCCTGAGCAGAGGCCCTGGTTGCCGTGCAGACGCTGCCCCCTGGGTGGGCTCTGGGTGTTCCAGCAGGGAACCAAAGCCACGCGGTGGGCTGGCAGGGGGAGCTGTGAGAGGCAGGGGGAAGGGGGCCCAGGGTCGGTTCCCAGCACAGCTAGGCTCAGTGCTCACCTGGTCCACCAGCCTCTCCTCCTTGGCCTTCTTTGGCTTCTCAGTGGCCCCGTCATCCACCCGAGGCTCCTTGGACATCTTGTACTGCTTTCTGGGCTTGGAGGGGGGCAGTGGCTTGTCATCCTCCCCCTTCAGGTGCCGCACGTATGGGAGGACCAGCCTGGTGAGGAGCCGGGCATGTCTATCACAGGGCCAGGGCTGGTGGGCACCCATCCACACTTCCTTCTGCTGCCTGGCCTCCCCCCCCCCCCCCGCTTCCAGGAAGCCCACCAGAACTCTCTCTTCTGAGCCCAAAGCTGTCGGCTCCTTTCCGGCCGAGTATTCACAGCAAACCAGGGCTTCCTCAGTTTGTCCAGCAATCGTGCTGGAGCTCTGCGCCATAACCAGGGTGGAGCCAGCACACCCCACCCGCTGGGGCTGCTCGGTGGCCACACTGCCGGTCTCCCTCCTCGGTACACAGCTGTACTCTGCTCCCACCCCCCGCAGCAAGCTCCGCCAAGCCCCTGGGAGGTGAATGCCCAGGGTCGGTGTAACCCAGGGAAGCCCCCAGTGGACGCCTTCTTGGCCCCCAGCCGCACCTCTCATAGTGGCGGCGCGTGCACGTGGCCGCGCTGGTGCTGCCGGGGCTGCCCCCCAGTTCGTCGTACACGTTCTTCCAGAGGCGGCGGCCGGTCACCTGCAACAGCACTAGGTAAGAGGCGGCGCTGGCGGCGCCCCCTGGCGGCGGGGCCTCCCCACTGCAGGTGCGCACTGGGCGCCTGGGTGAGGAGGGGCGCGTGGGGCGGGGTGAGGAGGGGCGCGTGGGGCGGGGAGCACCCCGCTTTCGCAGCTGCTCCTCTGGCAGCAAGGGGGTGGGGAGGGGGCTTGCCTGGCGGCCAGCCAGTTCACCCCACCCGGGGCTGCCTGCCTGCTAGCCCAAGCAGCTTTCGGAGCACGGGGAGGGCAGAACAGATGGGAGCAGAGGAAAATCTGCTGTGAGCAGCAGAGTACTAGCGAGCAGGAGAACTCGGGAAGCGCAGGGCTGGGGGTCTGTGAACGCAATGAGTAGAGCCTGGCTCGTCCTAGTTCTGTCTGCCCCCCCCCCACCTCTGTCGGCTCGTCCCTCCAGAAACACCCCTCCCCCCACAGTCCTGTAGGCATGCGCCTGGGACACGCTGCATGGTGAGGACTGCGGGTGCCTTCCTTACCAGCTCATAGGCCCCCAGCTTCTCCACCGCCTTGTAGATCTTCCACAGGTTAACTGGAGAAAGGAAAGGGATGGGGCAGGCCATCAGTCCCTGCGGGTGGAGGCAGCAGCCAGCGGCCTGTGCACCTGGACAGGGCTGCTGCTGTGGACGGCAGGCTGTGCCCCATGCTGTGGTGGCCCAAGGGCCAGGGAGGGTGACAATCCATCTCTGCCCCTTTGCCAACCCTGTGCCCGGGCAGGCAGTGTCCTGGGTCACCAGAGTGGAGGCACCTGCCCAACTCTGGGGCCAGCTTTGCCCAGAGGCCCTGCCTGGGGTTTTCCCTGCTGGGCCCACCCTCCCGCTGCCCACCCCCAGGGACGCACTCTGCTTGAAGCCAAGATGGGGCACCCTCTCGATGGGTGTGTGTCGCTCCTTCATGAACTTGTAGAGGCTGACCAGGAAGGCCTGCTCCTCCTCCCGCTCCTGCTCCTCCTCCCGCTCCCCACCTGCCTTGGGGGGGTCCTGGGGAAAGAACAGCAGGCATTGGGATGGGCCCCAGTCGGAGGGTGGCTGGCCCCCAACCCCAGGCTCCCGCAGGAAGGAGCAGGCCCCAGCCCCAGCCTATTGCTCTGGGCTGCACTGATTGTTCCTGGGGTCAGAAAGGTGTAGCTGTCAGCTCTCGGTGCCCCGGGGCCCAGGACAGGGGCCCGAGCCAACGCCCTCCACAAGGGCCCTGCAGCCCAGAGAAGCTGGTTACAGAGGCGGCTGCCGCCCAGCACCTTCCCCAGGCCTCTGCGGGCACAGATCACTTCTTTTATCTTGCATCTTCGCTCCTCCGCCTGACTGTGAGCTCCCGGAGGGCAGGCTTGGGCCTCACTCAGCGTCCCCAGGCCCCCTGGCAGCCCTTGCAGTCAAAGCTGAAGGAATGAAGGTGGTCGGTGCCCTCGGGACAGCTAAGCCTGTGTCCCCAGAGGGCGCCTCTGCTGTGGGCTGCCTCTCCGACCCCCAGACCGCCTTGCTGGTTTCAGGGAGGTGAGACCCTGCTGGCACATTCCTCTCAGATGCACAGGACTTTTGGTTTCCGGTCTCACAGGGGCAATTTCTGCTGATGCTGTTCATCGGGCTGGTCGCTCAGGGCAGACAAATACAGCTGGGCTGGGGCTGCAGACCCAGGACCAGGATCACGACCCAAGAAGGCTCCTGCTCCGAGAACAGACAGCTCCCAGGTTTTCATGGGATATCAACACACACCTGGGCCTAGAGCAGTGCAGAGCACGTGTGTCCCCAAAATACTTCATTCAGACACCACGTTGGTGTTTTTAACTCATCAGAACAACTCTGATAATGACTCGTGTTACATAGGCAACTCTAAATACCGGGGACCAGCGTCACTCTAACTTGAGCTACCAAGGAGCGGCTCAGTGCTCCTCAGAGTGCAGGCTTTCCCTGCTCTTCAGGAGAGCCCACCCTTCTCTCTCTCCTGTGGATTCACGGTGAGCTGTTAAAAACTGCTACCATCTGCAGCTACTTTTCTCTCTGAATCAGGATTTGAACTCCGGACTGTGGCTCACATGCCCTGGGTGCTGGGCACGTGCCCTGGGCGCCGGGGCTGAAGACGCTCTCAAACGCCATGCACAGCTCCCCTTTCCAGCTCCACACTTGTCAGAACAGCCCCCCGATCTCGCTGAGTGACTGTGTACGTCAGTGTTATAAATGTGAACAGCTGGACGTAAATGCAGTTTCACATCATACCCGCTGCCCTTGAGTGGATTCTGACTCATAGTGACCCTACAGGACAGAGTAGCTAACTGCTCCATAGGGTTTCCAAGGCTGTAAATCTTTACGGAAGCAGACTGCCACATCTTTCTCCCGTGGAGAAGCTGGATGGTGGGTTCCAAAAGCAGACCTTTCGGTCGGCAGCCGAGCGCTTTAACCACTGTGCCACCAGGGCTCCTTTTTCACATTGTAGGATAGTGCTTTTCTGTTTGATAGAGCAGGGTCCCATGTAAATCTTCATTTGAAAAAGGAAGTTTCAGACGCGCTACCACAGGCGACGGGGCAGTCTCCCACTGCCGGTCCCCCACCCCCCAGCCCCCGCCCCGATGCAGGGACCTGGGCAGGAGCCCCTGTCCTGGGTCTGCAGGGAAGGCGGGGATCACCTCTGTGCACTTCCGGCTCCTTCCTGAGAGCGTGAGGTCTCCAGGGTCACCTGGGAGGCTGAGCATAGCTGAGGGGAGGGAAGGAGGGAGGATCTTGAGGGCAGTCCCCCAACTCACCTCCAGCTGGATGGGGCTCTGGCTCCTGCTCTGCTCACCATCGGCTTCAGGGGACACACACGGGTCTCGGGGATCATCCCCCTCTGACTGTCTCCTCTTCCCTTTGACGGGGGGTGCTGCAAGGAGAGGAACGGGGGGAGGGGAAAGGGGGAGAGAACACACATAAGATGCAGGTAGAGAGGAACAGGTGCTGAGGAGAGGTGCCCCGGGGACAGGTGGGGGTCCTCCCACCCCCAATCTGAAACAGCCTGGTGGAAGGCAGTGAGTCCTCTCCTACTTCTGCAGCATGTTCTCTGTCCCCTGCCCCTGCTGCACCAGGCTGCCCTCTAAACACACACGAGGTCGCCCTGGCTGGGACAACCCTGCATGGCCTCCTCTGCACCTCTACCCCAACCCAGACCCTCATCCCCCCACGCACCACACCTGCCTCTTGTCCTTCCTCTGTGCCAGCCTTCTCCCGCGTCTTTGCAGGAGCCCTAAACCACCTTGGGGTCAAGTCAGAGAAGACTGGGCTTAGGGCCATGGTGCTCAGGGAAATTCTGTCTCCGAAACCTGCTCCAAGTTCAGGCGGCAAGTTTTTGCAGCAAAACAGCCCCGCTGGGGAGGCGCATCAGGTGCTCGGGCAGTAGCTTCTCGAGGAGTAACCAGGAAGAGAATACCTGCCCGTCTGTGACGCAACCACCTTGCCCTGAGATGTGCAGAATTCTCACTCCCCTGGAGCCCCTGGGTGGTGCAGACGCTTAATGCACTCAGCTGCTAACCGAAAGGCTGGAGGTTCAAGTCCACCCTGGCGATCTCCTTCGGAAAAATCAGCCATTGGAAACCCTATGGAGCTCTGACACATACGAGGTTGCCATGAGTCAGAGTCGACTTGACAGCAACTGTTCGTTTGTTTTTAACTACCCCTAATCAGACCACATGGAGCCCTGGTGAGGCAGTGGTTAAAGCGCCTGGCTGCTAACCAAAAGATCAGTGGTTCAAACCCACCAGCTGCTCCACAGGAGAAAGATGTGACAGTCTGTTTCCCATAACGATTACAGCCTTGGAAACCCTATGGGGCAGTTCTGCCCTGTCCTATAGGGTCGCTATGAGTCGGAATCCACTCAACAGCAATGGGTTTGGTTTTGGTTTGAATTTGGCCACATTCTCCCCTCACCTGGCCAGGGATCCTGGTGACCCTTCAGGTCTCAGCTGGCAAGTTGCTTCCTCTGGGTGGCCTTTCCCAGCCCCCAGCCAGGTAGAGCGTTCCTGTTGCCTCTTCACCATCCTGACTGAACTGCCTGCCTGCCGATCTTGCTAAGCACACTGTGCGTTCCTGAGGCACCGTGTCTTTGTGCCCACACAGGTGCCAGGTAAGTTAGAATAAATGAGCCTCACAACAACCCTGCGCAGTAGGCAGGGAAGAGCCACAAGCTCTACTTTACTGAAGGGAAGCCGTGTGTGCTGATGGTTGCAAAAACGCAACACCTCCACCACTGCAAAAAGCACGACCATTGGGAACCGCCAGCGTAAAGTGGTGACTTGCCTCAGGTCCCATGGCAGGCTGGCAGCAGATCTGAGACTAGGAACCCATGTCTTTTGATTACCTCCTTTTCTTTCTTTCCTTTATTTTTTCTTTTTGACAATCTAATATGATGAGGCCTTCCATACTCCTGGCTCAGTCCATCGTAGGAAATCCTTGCTGCTGGGAACCTATGAGATTTCCCTTCCTTTCCAGACAGAAAAACAATCTCCTTAAGAATGAGATACCCGTACAGACATGACACGCGAGGCTAGCAGGACCCAGAAGCATGTGCTGTTAGAATCTTCGGCCACTGAAGAGTCTTCGCTTTAGCAGTTTATGTAACTGCTGCTATCTGCAACTACTCAGTCACTTTACGCGGGTGCTCGGATGTGTCCCTGGCTCTCCCACATGTGTCCACTCTCTTAGTCCCAGAAGAAATCCCATTTTAGAGGTGGAAACTGAAGCCAGAGAGGTTGAGTTCAGTCTTCCTGGCAGACCAGGACTCAAAACAAGGCCTGTCCAACCACTGTGGCCTTGTCATCACTGTGGCTGCTGTGGTTATCATCAACATTTGCAAAGTCTTGATGAAAAGTCCTGTGATAATGGTGCAGCTGAGAAGTCTGACCTCCTCTAACTTCACAAGCGGGGAAGAGAATCATTATCAGCATTAACAGCCCGAGGCTGATCCCTCTGAGGAGGAGGTCAGACATACCTCCTCTATCCAACCTTTCTACCAATTCTGACACCAGCCATCCCTCCCATGGCACTGTCTACTTCTCTGCTGAGTTTGATAATTCGTTGCAATGGCCACACAGAACTCACAGACTATACTCACGATTATGGGGTTTATCAGGGAAGTAACAGGTTACAACTTCAGGGTTAGGAACAACTCAGAATACAGTTCTTCCATCAGGACAGCCTCTTCTCAGCTGTGCCTGCAAGCAGGTCTCACTCTGGTCTCGGCCCCTTAGCCTGGCCTCTGCCCTGCCTGGGCAAGTGTTACAAAGCTCTTTTAGCTCTGCTGATAAGTGCCCAGAGGCACCCCACTCCACCAGTAAGCCTCGGCCTGAAGGCGCTCAGCTCTAGCTCCACCAAGTGCCCAGAGGCAGGCACCCTGCTCCATGAGCAAGCCTCTGGTCTGAAGGCACTCAGCTTTCTTGTTCTGTAGGCTGGGAAGCCCACCACGCTGTCTTCTGGTCCTGCTGCCACCATTTCTCTGCCACTGTTTCTCACCGTCTCTTGCTGTCTCTGATGTTACAGCTCTCTCTCTGTCTCCCAGGTCTAGGAGGGTCTCAGCGCAGGGATCCCAGGTCCAAAGGACATGTTCCGCACCTGTGTCTTCTTGGTGGTAGTCAGGTCCCCCTCTGCTCTGGGATTTAGCTCTCTTTTAAGCCTGGCGAGATGGCAAAACTGGCCAATCCCCTCTTTAGGGTACCATACATCTTATTTGCATGGTCCTACCCCCACAAGCATACCATGCACTTTATTTACATTCTTAGCAAGCTGACCAATCCCCTTGGTGGGCCACAAGCACCTTATATGCATAGACCCACCCAGTCATTTGGTGGGAGTTACAAAGACTTTGGCTAGAAGGGTCATATTAAGTAATTCCCTGCAACGACCAAGTCCAAATATGTACAGAAGAGAAACCAGTTCTAAGGCTTGCCAAAGAGAAAGAGACTCACGCCAGCCTCTCAGGCCAGCTTCTGACCATTTGAGACCCATCTCCAGAAATCCTGGATGCTAACAACTGACCCTCCAAACAGATGCCTTTCCAACCAAGTCCTGGTCTGACTCTGTGCCTCAGTCTTCCCTTCTGTGGTATGGGAGAGAAAGACACTTGAGTCCTTCGCTGGTTATCTATGAATTCCTGAGGTCACCCCGGCCATCAGAGCACGCGCTGCTCACCAGCTCCCCACCTTCTGCCTCGGCCCCTTCCAACCCCCTTTCAGTCTTCTCTCCTGACTCCTACCCTCAGAGCAAAAGGACTCTCTCCACCTCCTCCTGACTGTGACGGGGCCTCTAGTCCTACTACAGACTTCCTGTGTGGGCCTGGCATGTCACTGCCCCTCTGGGCCTCTGAAAAATAAGGTGGTTGGATCAGTGCACCTCAGAATCACCTGGGAGAGCATTTTAAAAACACGGATGCTGAGGCCTCACCCTCAGAGGATCTGATTGAAGGTCCTGGGTGGGGCCCCAGCCTCAGAGTTTACAGCTCCTCATGAGATTCTATCAGCTGGGGTGGACAGTCACCGGGCCAGACAAACCACCGTCCCCTTCTCACTCTGTGGCGGAGTCTGTGAGCTCTGCCCTGGCCACACTCAGAGAGAATCTCCTGGAGCTGGGCACTCGTCTTACCTGGAAATGAGGTCACCAATCTGAGCTGTTTAACCCCAGATGGGAAAGGGGTGAGTGCGCCAGCCTCGAGCTACAAAGGGAAACACTCTCTCTGTGGAGCCAAGTCCCTGAATGAACTCAGCCTCCATTTTCTTCCATCTGGGCAGGGCTTCTGGTCCCCAGGCCTTAGACCCCACTTCCACAGCCGCGAGCCCTCTGTCCTGTCCCTGGCTGCCATCATCCCTCCCTTCCCTGGCCTTTTGTAGATCAGGTTTCCATGTAAATCTTCACCTGAAAAAGGCTTCTGCTGCTAACAATATGTTTGAAAGCCACCACCATAGGTGATGAGTGAGCCCTCTAACTGCCCGGCTCCCACTCCTTCCAGATTCAGGGTCCCTCACCCAGCTCTGCAGGGGAGGGAAGGGGCTAGGGACCTGGCCATCCCACCTCCCAGCCTCATCCAGCCCACAGAGGCAGGAGAGACCCACTTGCCCCTGAATGACCGCGGCTGCCCATCTGCCACTCAGTGACTGTCTTGCTATGAGCCTGCGTTTGTATCCCTTCCTGCACAAGACCTCAGGTGCCCTATGTTTAATGGGGGAGCGGGTGGACCCGATTAAAAAATAGAAAAGAAAACATCTGCTCGCCAAAGCAATTGTTCTTCAGACATCAGCTTCCTCCATCCAGGAAACAGTCATGACAATGACGGTGGTTACTGTTTCATTGTTTTACTTTTACCACATCTGGACTCTGCTCTGGTATAAGATAGGGGAAAGGGCTTAAGCCATAGTTTTCTCCCACTGCTTCGGTGGTGCCCCTCCCCCATTGATTTGAAATGTTACTCTTCTCACAGTCTAAATGCTCACAATGAACGTATCTGGGAGTGCTTCCGGCCTTTCTATTCTGCTTCTTTCGTTCCTGGTGGAACGCTGAGGTCCGTGCCCACTATTTTAGTTTTTGTGGCCTTTGTAAAATAACTTATATCCAAAGGGCCAGTCTCCCATCTTTACTCTTCTTCCTCTTTTCTGATCTATTACTTTATAATTCCATCTGCACTTTAGGATAGTTATGTCATATTCTCTTTAAAGAAAAAAGCCATTGGGGTTTTCATTGAATTGTATTTGAATTTAGAACTAACTTTGGGGAGAGATAACATCTTTACAGCACCTTCCCTTCCAGGACCATGGGATGTGTCTCCAATTACTAGGCTTCCCTTGGCCGTTCTCAGAAGGTCCTTCTGAAAGGTTGAGTTGATTTCTAGACGATTCGTGCTTTGCGCTGAGAGATCATAGTGTTCACAAAAGGCCTGGCCAGCAATGGTAGGACTTGGTTCCACAAGCCCTCTGTGATTTCCTTATTTCACTTTTGGGAAGACGACAAAGGGATTCCGGGTGTCTGGGCCAAAAGACGAACCCTCAGCCCTTGTGATCCAGTCCCACCACTGCGGCCCCCACTGGGCAGGGAGTGTGCAGGCAGGGAGCTGGGACAAGCATTGCTCCGGGCCCTTCCTGTGTTCTGAATTTGAGTTCTGTTCAACTCCATGGCTCATGTTTGAGTCTAGCTTAGCTCCCAGATCTGACAGCCCAGCAGTTAAGGGGTTAGTTTCAGTCACACGCTCCAATAGAGGATGCATTCCAAAGTCTACTTGTTCTTAAGACATTCTCTACTTCCCTTTCCACACCATACACTCCACCAACCCAAATCAGTGCCCTGGTGGGCCGGGGCCGGGCATTTTTGTACATTGCCTCACTGAGTCCTCCCAGTCACCCAGTGGGTATTGATCTTGTTGTTGGGTGTCATTGAGTTGATTCTGACTCATAGTGACCCCATGTGACAGTAGAACTGCCCCACAGAATATTCTTGGCTGTAACCTTTATAGGACAAGATTGCCAGGTCTTTCTCCCATGGAGTGGCTGGGTGGGTTCAAACCACCCACATCTTGGTTAGCAGCCAAGTGCTTAACCATTTGCACCACTAGGGCTCCTTTTCCCTGTTTTTAGAGATGCAATTCTTGAGGCTCAGAGAAGTCAAATGACTTGCCTGAGGTCACACAGCACACCACCAGCAACAGAGCTGACGGCTCTAAGACACTGAGTCTGGAGCTTTCTTAACGGGAGCGGGAGCGGGAAGACCCTACGCTCCTCATCTGCGCTGAGATGGTGCAAACCCGCCACCTTCCCAAGGGGCTGTGCCTCTCCCCCCACACTCCCCGCTCCTCATCTGCGCTGAGATGGTGGAAACCCACCACCTTCCCGAGGGGCTGTGCCTCTCCCCCC